AGTTTCAGTCTCACGGAATAAGTAAATTGACACTAGGAGCAGTGGCATTTCAAGATCACCGAAGCTCCACTTTTGCTACACCTCCTAAGTCATTTCACAAAGTCAGACTAGAGTCAAGCTCAACAGGGTCTTCTGTCCCCGCTGATGAAACAAGCAAACAGATGCGGACATAATTGCACAACACAACAACTAAGTACGCAGCATACAAGCACCTTCACAGATCGCGACACACGTGCGCAGATGCGCACACACACACACACATACGTATATATATATTTATACACACACGCACATATACATACATATATATATATATATATCTATGTATGCTCTGTTAACTAGTCAATTCCTTGTTCTGTTAAAATGTATGGTTACTAGATGGCTAGCTAAGTCGGGTTTAGGATCTGATGCTTGTGCGCGAGTGTGTCTCTGTTTCCTGAACGGGGTTTCTAGGCATGACCGTGGTTAGGTTCGTTTATTGTGATTGCGCACATGAGATTCGGAACCGTCAGTGACTTCTCTGGGAACGTCAGAGCGCTCACAGACTTTGAGAAAAGATAGGAGGCCCGTCAAATAGTGCATAAAGGTCCTACGTGCATATGTGAATATGTGAATTTGTGTATATGTGTGTATTTATGTATATGAGATATATGTGTGTGGATATGTAAATGTTTACGTGTGCGTATGTATATACTATTTATGTACATGTAGATGTATGTGCATACTCATCTTGTAAAACTACATTTGCTCGTTTGTTTATTTGAGTCTCACTTGTCGTTTTGTAGGATTTCTGTGAGTGGGTCATGCCCACACGTGTGTTGTTGAATCCTTGCGCCAACTTGCACCCTGCTCAGGAAGCCCTTCGGTGCTTGAGAGCTTCTAAGCTGGTTTTCCAGGACGCATCAAGTATCCAGCCTTGAAGCGTAGGTGGCACCTCTCTTCCCGCTGCGCCCGTCCTCGGTGTCTCACCAGACTCGCCCCGGCTGCCTGGCTGCGGCCATTTAGGTGCAGCATTTCGGGATTAGGGTTACGTTCCAGGATTCCAAGGTGTACAGAGCTGGAGAAGAGAATGCTTGAACCCCTTGATTCTACGGCCAAGGGCCGCAACGGCCCAGAAGAGGTGTTGTGTTTTGCACCCGAAGCACCCAGCAGCCCACCTGCAATCAAGGATGTGCGAGAACAACGGTCTTTGCAAGGAGCTTGCTGCTGGCTTTTTGCTAGCGATTGCCACCCTGTACACACAGACGCGGGTCCATCAGATTTGCCAGGGATGGGTGGTCAACAACTTGTAATGCACGCTCCGACTTGCAGGAGAACGGCTTGAAGGGCCTTTGCTGCCCAAACCCTGCAGGCCAAAACCTAGGCGAGCGGCATCGACTGGGGTCTTGGGGTTGTTGGGGTTGCAGGCTTGGTGTTTCAGGATCGGCTCTTAAGGCTAAGGCCTTCTTCTGAGGCCAGGTTTGGCGTTGCCCGCCTCATGTCCTTTGCTTGTCGTTTGGGGTATTGAGCCGGGCTGTCCTCTCGGCAGACTGCTGAGGGTATATAGTACATGGAGCTGTTGCATGAACATATGGCGGATCCTGAAGCGTTCGCATGTGCAGCTGACGGAGGATTGAAGTTCAGCCTCGTACGTGCTATACGACGTGGCGAGGTCTTCCGGGCTCCCAAGCAAAGTCGCCTAAACACCCGGGAACTTCGACGGAGTCGAAAACAAGCCCAAGCCAAGTCCGAAAGGCAAGAGGGGAGCCCGCCTCTTCGTAGCAATTCTCTGCCTCTGTCTGTGAGGCTGCTGCGACTCTGAAGTTGCCGCTTGTCCTTCGCAAAAGTTTAGGCTGGTAGGTGCTAGCGATCCTACGACTTGGAGGCAGAGGCGTGGAATGTAAGCGACCTCGACGGAGCTAAATCTTGGAAATGTATTGGGTTCTTCACTGCCACGGGCTTGCAAATGCTATTTCAACTTTTGTTCATTTCTCAGGACATGAAGTTCTTTTTCGCGTATGTGTATTCAACCCAAGCCCTGCCATACAACACAAGTCGACCTATGTTTTGCATACCACGTCGTGCCACCACACCTCAACATGTGACATTCTACTCCCACGCCATGCTTCAATGATTCAATAACGAACCGACTGGGTTTCCTCAGGCTCCTTGGAAGAATGTTCCGGGGATGCTGGATCACAACACGATTGCTTGGAGTTCGATGTTGTAATTTTCGGTGCTTTGCGCAAGCTTGCCGTATGCTTATGCACGTCCGATAGAGCGGCTCCTGTTAATCCCAAATATCCAGAATCTGCTGATGTCTCAACCTCAACCGGAGACGCGCAAGGTCCAAAGCCCAAGCCTCAGGCCCCAGCCATTAGACCCCTCCCAGGAGAAGCAGGACATGCTGGGCGCAGGTCCTGCTCCGGAGCTGCTGCCGCCTGCAACAACACCAGGTGCAAGTCACGATTTGGGTTCATGAAGCTTCTTCCTGGGCTTCGCGGTTCAGTTCGGGAAGTGCTACGTTTATTTGGAACATGATGCAATAAATGGACAAATTGGGTTTGTAGTTTTAGATTGCTCGTGTCTGTTCCCACTGTGGGTCCATACAAGACAAGACGAGCTTGGAATGATGCTGGAGCCGTTTCACAAGGACGGTGAGGTTTTCTGGCTTGACTACTGGTGGCTGCCAGTACCCTCATGGTGAGTTCTGATGGATAGTTTGCGCTTGCTGTTATGATGTTGATCATTAGCACCTCTGCTGCAGTAGCTGGTTCCAGGCGTTGCTATGCCGATTCTCTTGTCGTATACGTATAGGCATGAGAATTTGGTCACGCTTCCAGGCAAGCTGATGACCTTCTACCTTTACCGTGTGGACAACGACCAGAGGTGTGCAGCCTCACCGGTTGGAGTCTCCGGGGCTAAGTCGTCACTAATTTTTTTGTGATACAAATCAAATTTGCAGTAAGCTGCCGTTGCCGTACTTATTGACGTCATGATTTTTGTGGGGGGTTGGATGAGTTCCGGTTCATTGTCATACTGTCGTCGTCATGGTTTGCAGTGAGTTCTCTCGGACCTTCAAACACTTCCCCGGTGAGCACCGTCAAAGACCTTGACGGCAGAGGTACTCACATCGTAGCTGCCATAAGGTGTTCATTCCTGCCCCCTCTGTGTGTGTATATACATATACGAGCATACCTGCACGCATGCACAATACACACATCAGCGAGAGACAGAGACTGATAGATAGACACGTACATAGCTAGATAGACGGATAGACCGATAGATACAGACATAGACGGATGGATGTATACCCTGGTCTTCCAGCGGATGTAGAGGTACAAGTTGAACGGTGTCAACATGGCCAACCTTCTGGGCGACATTTGGCAACTTGGGCGAAGCCTTTCACCTTGCAAACTGACAGGCTGTTCTCCCCAGTTCCTGAAACTTGCAAACTGCAGTGCCTGGTGGTCATGATTCACGCCAGGGCAGTACTGCCCGTTGACATAGGCTGCAGATTGCGGTTTGTTTGGAGGGCAAAACATGGTTCTGGTTTGAGCTGGGCCAGGTATCTTCACAACGAAGTGGTGTTCAATTGCCCCAGGACTGAAGTTGATATGTAATTCACGAGCCTTGAGGCCAACATATATGTTTGAACTCGCTCCGGCAGCTCCGCCGACGGGATGTGATATAAGATGGCCACTGAATGGGCCTTTCGTCTTCAATTGCTAGGAGTGCTGGATGCTGATTTCAATTTCTGGCACCTTCCAAGGGTTGGTGTGGCACTGTGGAGTTTTGGGAGATTGCTCACCTTGTGGTCGCTAGCCCGGCTGGAGGATTTCCTGCTCTTTTCCACTCCTTGTGCCTGATAATGCGGGCACGGCCTGCAGGAAGTTCAACATCTCGCGGTTGACGCGCTTCAAGGTCACCTACCGTGCCACCAAGGATTGGGCTTGGGAGTCTTAAGCAAGGACAACCCCGAACACTGCGCTGACGTTCCAGATTTGCAGAAGTCACCCTCGCCAACATAGATCGCCATGCAAGCCCAGCTCACCAACAGCTCCAGTGGTTAACTACAAGCAGATTTGTAATCAGCAGTATCACAGATTGGTGCTTTTTCGTAGCTGCTCTTGCCAAAGGTTCATGCACCACTACCATCGAGTACTCACAAGAGTCGTACCGATGTTGTGGGTGACTGTCTGCTCAGGCCGGCAGAGGCATGATCGATTACTCCGCGACTACCGTTCAGTAGCTGTAACCGTGGAAGTAGCAATAGCAGCATTCTGACATCCTTTGCTCCATCATCCCGGTTGTGGCACGTAAGCTGCCCAGCTTGAGGCCTCTTCTGGTTTTCGGGATTTGGGATGTCCCCTCCTTGGTCCTTGTCTGTATCTAGTTCCGAGCTCTTGGGCCTAAGGCTCCGTTTGTGTGTTACATGTCATAAGCAGGCGGTGTTACTCCTCGGTGATCGGTTGAGCGGGCTTTAGTATTGGACTGCATCCACACACCTCATAGCAGCAGTAGCGGCGGCGGTGGCAGCGATAGGGGTAGTGGCCGTCGTAGTGGTAGTGGTAACGGCACTAGTCGTCGTGGTCGCTGTCGCAACGGGCCGTCGTCGTAGTAGCTAGTAGCTAGTAGTAGTAATAGTAGTAGTAGTAGTAGTAGTAGTAGCAGCAGTGGCAGCAGTAGTAGTAGTCGTGGTGGTGGTGGTAGTTTTGGCAGTAGATGCAAAGGTTTCTGGAACATCTTCGAGAAGCCACCAAGCGGCAAGAATGGTAGCCCGCGGACAACAAAGAAGCAGTGTAGCAGTAGTCTGCGAAGAGGAAGAGCACCCTTGGCCCCAAAGGGCGGCGAGGTGTTTCTGATTCTAAGGCATGGAGTAGAGTGCAGAGTTGTGACTTGCTGTGATTCGTGGTCCTTTCTTGAAAACATTTGTTGTGTTCAAGTGTCAATGATGGGCGACCTTACGTCTGACATCGCAAGACATGGTCGGATTTTTCCGAGTTGAAACAGCAATCAATGGTTACAGCAGTGGTACGAACACTGAAAGAGAGCTGGTGAGGAAGACAGCTAGGAAATTTGAACCAGGAGCTTTGGGGTCAGAACAAGAACTTTGACAACTTCGTGGCTTTCGACAAGGCCAAGTGCACAGTGTCGGGGCCCCGAGTGATTCTTGCTTGCTGCGGCACTGCCGAAAGCGGCTTCAGAAATTCGTTTGCTCGGATCTCTCCGAGCTTGAATAAAAGGCCTCCCGGTTGATGCTTCCCAAGGCCTGGATGCTCCATGCTCCACTGGCTGCCGCTCGGTTACGTCATCGGTTGCACGCGGCTTGGCAAGCACCGACAGACGGTTGGCAAGGGTTTAGGGCACCTGGTCAGCCCGCAGCGCAGCGACGGCTAGCAACCGAAGAGTCGAAGGAGAGCCGGGGTCGACATGTTACAGTGCATCCCACCCAGGAAGAATGATGTGGGCAGAGTGGCATTGCCGGGTGAAGCTGCCTGGTTCTCGCTGCCCGGGACCGCATGGGCTGCAGGTTTCGTAACTGCGGCTAGTATAGTGTCAAAAAGTGTAATGACTTTCCCTGCAGCCCTTTGCTCTCGCCGCCCAATCGCGTACCTGGAAGCGTGTTGGTTCCCACAAGAACCTGAGCAGGTACCCACAGGGCCCAAGAATTCAGTAGAGCGGCATAACGTCCCTAGAGGACCTGCCCCAGCAAGTTCTATTTCCAGAAGTCGGACGAGTGCGTGAAGAGGGAGCCGGGCGGCCAGTGCAAGGGTGGTCAGGCCAGGCAAATCCAGCCTATGCCCTATGCTGCTTCGGAACCCGCATGCGTTCATCTCTTAGTCTTCTAATCAAATAATTTGCACCACAGCGTGGTACTTGCAAGGCTTTTAGTGCGTGGTGGTCTCAGCATTTGTCTTGTTGTTGAGGGTGTTGTCATCACACAGAGTTACTGCTGTGTGTTTCTCGAAGTGAGGATTCGTAGATTGTGGCTCTATTTAGAAGGTGCCGCTGCGCCCACCAAAGCAAAACCAATTTTGTATTTTGCTGCGGTCTGATGTTCCCGCTTTAAAGGCGTTCGTCCGCCTCTGACTCTTGTTTCATGGTGTCCAGGTTGGTTGACAGGTATAACACTAGAACGCGCAGGGAAGCAGCCCCTACCTGCGAAAGCAATGTGTTGGTTGCTTTTTTGTGCTAGCTATCTGACGTGTCGTGCAAGATGCACTCGAACACTTGTAAAACTGCCGAAGGAGTGCATGCAGTCAGCTTGACGCAGGTAACCGGTGAGCGCGACTGCGACTCGGATGCGAGACATCATGAAGGAACCCTGTCCTGCGTGAAGAAACAAGTGTGCCCAGAGAGGGTGCAGCCTGAATTGCAGCTGCTGCCAAGGCACCTATCAGATTGAGGAGGCCGGCGAGATTCCTCTGGATGAGCTCTCAGGCCGGAAGCCTCCTTGAGGATTCGGGGTGACTTCTGCGACGCAGGGATTTTGTCGGCAGGACGTGAGGTTTGGAGTTCCGGGTTCGGAGTTCAGTTCGGGGCTCGAAAACTTGTGCCCGAGTCGGGACGTTTGAGGAGTGAGGAGTGCATGCAGTTGCGCATTGGGTTTGCCAGAGTCCCGCAGCCTTCCTTTTGCAACGACGAGTGCTCCTTGCAGCCAGACTTGGTTCGGGCAGTCACAGGCCCAACCTCCTGTCTCAGCACAGTCCCAGCTATCGCTGAAGTGTGCGGTTGCTACAGGTATCAAGAACTACAACGACGTTTGTGAGAGCACTGGGGTGCGGGAGCCGCTTGGCCGGGCCTGGTGACAAGTGTGCGCTCAAACCGGCGAAACTACTTGTTCAAGTCTTTGACCTACTGGTCTTGCCACCAACATCGCAAGCCTCAATGGCCCTTTGCTTGCCGTTCAGATGCAGACGGGGCTCGATTCCATTCCTTGGAAGGTTAACCTAGCCCGGTACTCCACAACTTCTGGATCAACTCTTACTAGATGGTCGCTCCCCTCTCCGGCAATCACCCTTTGACTCCCGGGTTCATACGATGAGGTACGATGAGACGACCGACAAGGGCACGGGAACCAGCTTTTGGAACGGCCTCTTGCCAAGAGCTACGACCGACTATCGGTACATTTGTTCTTCGTCTTGCTCTAGCACTTGTGCTATTGCAGTTGGTCGAAGGTGTCATCGATGTGTAGACTTTAGATCCCCGTCGCCACTGCTTTCGAATTGTTATTGCAGTAAGTTGTGCTGTCCTTCCTTCGGTCTTGACTGCAACCATTTCTAAACCACGGTACACCATGAAAGCGAGAACTTAGTTGTGCACCAATAGTAGTCAGAACGTTGACAGCAATGCCACTATTGCCGCCGTAATGGCTGATTATCAGTACGCCCTGCTACTGCAACTGCTACTGCTGCTGCTACTACCACCAGCACCACCACGACCACAGCAAAACGAAATTAGTATGGATAGTGATGTCAAGAACTTGAGCAAATCGACAGCTGACAGCACCAATGGAACAAATCAAGGGTGAGAATGGTACCAAACACAGCAGCTATCGCCGTTGGCGACGCCCCGAGCCCGCACAAGAGCTTGGATGGAAGCTGAGGAAAAGCGGACCCGAAGAAGGGTGCGGAGCGTGTGAAGTTCATCTCGGACCTTTTCGCAAAGCGCTTTCCGCAGTTCCCGGCGCACTTGGATGATCCTCCTTGCGACGCATGAGTGCCGTCAGCATCTTGCTGTCAGTGAGCGAAGACTCTGACCTGACAGTCGTCTACGGCTTTGGATCCGGAGTAGCCGGCAAGAGCTTGCAAGAGGACTGATCACAACGTTTTCGCAAACTTTGGACGTGTTACGAGTGCGATCTGGTGCCGTAAGGTGTGTCCTTTCAATTGAAACTCTACATCAGGGCTTCAACGAGCTAAAGCTCATGCAAGCTCCATGTGCAAAGTTCTGCTAGGTTGATGACAACATATCTGCCCGAACTGAGTCCCCACTCCCCATGGAGTTCAGAAATTGAGTTGGTTTTCGCCGATGCGCGCAAAATCGTGCTTTCTGCAAGCCGGAAAGCTGAGGGACCGCGGCCGCATATTTTTATTCACCCCAGGACTTGGGCTCCTTCGTCTCAACTTCCCCGATTGGGACCTTAATTAACGGCCCGAGTTGTTCTGCCTGCCAAAGCCAGGTCAGAGACGTGGGTGAATCCATGGCCACAAGCCCTGGACATGCCAGGCCCTGCAATGGTAGGGCTTCCCATGGAACTGTGACTCGTGAGAAAGGTTTTCAGCCACTGACCACGACGATGCTGGCAACATCAATCACAAGCGATCTAGTCGAAGTGCAAAGATCAAGTAGCAGCGACAGTTGTCGTGTTGTCGTCGCTGTTGTCGAGTAGCCTTGGCTCAGTTGGCTGCCGTCGTGCAGGGTGCAGAATAGAACACTGCAGACTTTGGCAGCATCTTCAGCCAACACTCCACAGCATTGTTTGGCCAAGCCTGGCCCTGTTGGTTAGCCGTACACACATGCGGCAACACCTTTCCTACTGCGGTTGTGTTCCAACAAGCTGGGGGAACCAGTCCTGATCGTGTACGTGACTGTTCGCGAAATGTCGTATTCTGCTCATTTGACTGTGTTGTTGTTGTTGTATTCCTCTATTGAACAGCTCGGTTCGCCAGTGTTCCCAATTCAGCTTCCCTCGTCAAGCATTCTGAATACTAGCATCCGCTCTTTCGCAATCTGGCCCCGGGCTTAGTCTAAGCCTAGGAAGACTCTTGGATGCCCGCTGCAAGTGACGCGGAAAACGTTGCGGCTCCATTGTAGCTGTGACTTTGAGCTGAAGATGCCAGGAAGTGCACGCTGCGTGCGCCTGGCCTGCGGTGCTAAGCACACGCTCTTCCTCACAGCAACCGGGCAGCTGCCAGAGACTTATCCGAAGCTCAGGTCGGAAGCTCCTTTTTCAGTCTAAGATGTTGGACCTCCAGTGCATGGCTCCCTGCGTCCTGTTATCGAGTCTTCGCCTTCAAAGAGACCCTCTGACGGGTTTTAGATCCGCCGGTTCAGTTTCTCATCGCTCGCAGAATGCTTTGTTCGCCCCTCGGTTTTGAGCCTTTCGCCGATTGCCGAGATACGGCTGCGGGCAGAACGCGTCTTCCCGGCAACTTTGAGCTGTTTCCCATCAGGCTTTCGTAGCCTCTGCAGGGACAGGGGACTGCTAACTGCCGGGTTGAGGCGATCGAATGCAAAGCCCTCCCAAGAGAGCTGCAAGGCAGCGACAGCTCAGCAGCGCTGTGTCTGGCTGCGTCACCACCACAGAACTTCCCTTCAGCCCGGGCTCTCAGGATGCACGTGTTGAGAGTCCCCACAATAGAGTGTGTTTCCGAAAATAAGGGGTACCTTATTTTGGGGATCCTTATAACAAGGATCCTACTATTTAGGGTACTATATTAGGGCCAATGAGTGTGTTTGCGGCATGCAAGACCAACTGGCTTGAGAGTTTGCTCCCAGCAGCCGTTTCTTGGCAACCTTCGAAGTAGCATGGTCCCAGACCGCAGCCTGAGGCCACGAGAACGGCCTGCCGGTCGATATCTTCTGCCACCCCAGCCTGAACGTTTCAGTGGTGCTGACCAAGGAGAACAGGTCCGGACCGGGGTTCCCTCATTGGTTGAGGGTCCCTCGCTTTTCTCTCTAGGCGTCCTCTTGGATACTGTCGTTTTTTGCATCTCAGCTCCGTGATTTCATGTTCAGTTGGGGCTTGCGGGGCTTTTTGTGGGGCACGGGTCAATGCGTTTAACTTGGCCTCACTGCCGAGTCAGGTTCTTCATCTGTGGCGAAGCCGGCAGTCTCTTTCACACAGCCGGGCTCATTGAGCACTTCCTGCCATACGACAGGCTTGGCATGGGTTGCAGGTTGCGCACTGCCGACGACAGTGTGCAATGTATCTGGCTCCGCTGGCAAGCACAGCAGAGGCACGGAAGCGAACTGTTGCACAGCGTATGTCCATGGTGCTGCGTCAGGGATGCGATCATGATCGAGAACCGCATCGTGTGCATGAAGCACAGCACTGGCCAGGCCGATGGGGATGTTGCAGGTCAGTTCCACCGTTGGACGAGACATGTTGATTGACGGCTTGCAGACTCGCTGCGCTTTTTGAAGGTGTACATACCCGGGTTCAACGATCCCAAGGCACGTTGCCGGCGTGACAGTAGCCCCGGAGTTTGTGGTGAACTTCTGACTTCCGGAGGGCAAGGAAGCGTGGGGATTTGCTAGGTACCAAGAAGCTCATGTACGAAACTTGGTCAGGTACCACGTTGCCGTGCCGGGCGCATGCCGTACAATAGCTACAGTGCTACAGGATATTCAGAACTGCCCGGTGACTTCGCGTGCTATCCGTCCGTCCGAGACAAGACACGTGCGTATCATGTTTTGTCCTGTCTGTGCACGGAGGCCTGCTACTTTTGAAACAAACTTGCGGCTTCGTGATGCCACTGGCATATCCATACCAAGAGTTTCTCCTGCTGAATACTTTGAAGTTATTTCGAGTTTCGCTTGCCCTTTGCCTACGCTCTCCGCCTGAAATGTTCCAGCATGGACGAACATATCTCATTCCGGTTTGATCGGAATGGTTGTTGCACTCGGACGTGCGGTTGCATTTCCGCGTGGGCACGCAGAGGTCGGCACAGTTGAGCTGGTTGCAGCGCAAGAGGCCACCCTGCTAGCTTCGGACTGACTATCTGCAGACCCATAGCTTCACAAGGGGTCTTCCAGGGGATGTGGTTCCGAGGTCTCAGGGAGCGTCTTAACCAAGCGACACGGGAACAACAACAGTCAACAAAAGCAGCAAAGTGCACTCCCAGAAACAGCGGAGATATCCAGACCACATGTCCTAGCACAGGGGAGTCCGGGGGGCAGAGTTCAAATAAGCGCGATGTCAGATATCGCTGCTAAGATTTTTCCCTCCTTGAAGCCATACCGGACAGGCAGAGGAGCCCGAGCCCGATGGAGCAAGAGCCCCGGCTTCCCGGAGTAGAGTTGCTGCGCTCTTCGGGTTGATGTGCCGGTCTGGTGATGAAAGTTCTCGGGGCCTGTGATTTTCGAGGGGCCAGGACGGTGAGGAGACTCAAAGCCTAAAGCCTGGGCCTAGACCTCCCCAATGTTGCCTTGCAGAGCTTCTCGCACAGGATGCGAATAAAGATACAAATAGCTTCATGTGAACGGTTCTTTCCATGCAGGAGCAGTAAAGCGAGGATTTGGTGTTGCTTTCCGAGACCGGACGTCGCCAAGAAGACTTTGCAACGTACTGTCTGCCTGGAAGCAGCAGCGCAGAATGTTGCAGAGGACCTTGACTCCCAGTTCGCCGACCATAAGACCCACCGCAATGCTTGCCACCCTGTATTGTACCACAAAACCTGCTGCAAGAAAGCTGCGCCTGGCCCATTCAGTCGAACCAAGGCTTATGCTTGCCGGCTGCTGGAGCGGCACTTGGCTGTGGACAGCCTACGGCGCTTGACTCATCAAGCACTGGAGGCGGCCTCCAGCAAGAGTTACGGCAACAGCGGCAGTAGTGAACGCTAGGATCACTAGATACTAGTAGCAGCAAGCTTTCCAACACTTGCAATGAAAGCGATGACAACAACAGCTTGATAACATGCCGATATAGATGAAAATAGCTACACCGGTAGACCGTCCAAGACACCTTGTGTAACGGGAAGCAGCATGCTTCTGGAACACCGCGGCAAGTCCTTATTGCAGTGTGGTTAAGGTAATCTGCAATCTTCCCATATCTTCCCACCAGGTTGGCTAACGTACGGTCCACACGGCAACTGCCAAGAGCTGCCGCAAACCCCGCCGACTCTCACCCGTTGCCATATCGTCTTCTATACACTTATACAGTATACACCTCTTTAATTTCGGACTTCACTTTGCAGCTGTCCCTAGACTGTTGAGTGTAGGAATCGTGTACTGCATGCCTTCAAATTTTGACCCGACGACTTCGTAGAGCCACAGCTTTGACAAGCAAGAAACTGGCAAGTTCCCGAAGCCTCGTCTCGACTTGGCCTCAACCCCACCTCCTGATGGTTTCAGGGGGGCTCTTTGACACCACAAGATGTGATCAAGGAGTACGCTGGCCGGGGTCCCAGAACACGCTCAAAACGATTCGCCAAAGGCTCACACGTGCCATGTAGCCCGGAGTCAGCGCAGACCGAAGAATTTTGAATACTCTGACTGAATTTAAGTTTAGGCTTTAATGTGTCCTGCTTTACGGCAGCCATCTTTTCCAGTCATGTGCCCAAGCTCCTGGATCCAGAAAATGGATTGTCAGACCTGTGCTCAGGTGCAGCATCTGTGGGGCCCAGCCCCGCGGTGGCAGACACGGCCAAGGCTTGTCAAAACCCTGGCTTTAGGGCTTGCAGGTAAAGGGAACGAGAGACAAGAGGGGTTGAGGGCTTTGGGGTTTGCATTCGGGACGTGCCGGCTTCATTCTCAAAGTTCTAAGCTGGCATGTGAGATTCGACCGCGCTGGTTTTGTTTTGGGTCTTTACATGCAGGTTGCCTTCATTGCTTTCAGTGAAGCGACTGAACCAATGCTGTCAGTTTCGGTGGCTCAGACCAGAATTCCAAGACAAAACAAGGTGCCTGCAGCAGATCACCATCTGGAGCATGCTGCAGTAGCATCATGAATAGAGCCTTTTTGGGTTCGTTTACGAAGCCCCTGTGTCTTGATGTGGAGCGCGAGAGACTGCGTCTTGAGGTTCCGCATTTTCAACCTCTTGCATAAGGCGGCCCAGTTCGGAAGTTAGAAGTTGAGATTGCGTGAAACCATACTCACTTCCCCAAAGTTTCGTCGTTTCTGCCCGCTTCCCTTGCGATGGCGGCGCGGCCAGCCGGACCTCCCGAGTCCTACCAATGGGAACCTCGATTGTTTGGGGTTTGGACGGTCCTCAGGGTTCCGTAAGCTAGAGGAAAACGCAACCTCAAGAAGCCCTGTAGTAGCAAACTCCAGCAAGCTACCGAGAACATCTGTAGCATGTCTCGCCATTTCACACGTGCCGTGTCTGTTTATGTGGATCTGTGTAAGTGTAGAAATTGGCATTGGCATCTTGAAATTCAATGCATTTTGTGCCGACGGTGTTGTTGTTTTCCGACTCGTTCTACTGATATACAAACCTCCTGCTCACTTAGTTGTAAACATGTACATACATGCAACTACAGACACCGACACGCAGACGGACGGACGGACGGGCTGACATGCACGCTCGTGCACGTGCACATCATCACACATGTTTGTGGTATACTGTCTGTCTGACGTACGTATGTATCTGTGTGTGCATGTGTAGAAAATATGAGCATGGATGGGCGGACAGATTTACGGATACATAGATCGATCGGTAGGTGGATAGCGCAGCCAGCCACAGCCGGCCAGGTAGGCAGGCAGGCAGGCAGGCGGGCAGAGGACAGAGAGACAGAAAGCAAACAAAACAAATAAGTAGGTCAGCGAACCAATAGTAAATTAATACAAAGGCCAAACAAACAAACTCAGCAATTCGGAACGAAATAACTAGAAACACACATGTGCCTATAAAGAAACAGAGCGAGAGGCAGAGAGAGAGGGAGCGAGACACGTACAGACAGATGCAGGATAATAGATCGTTGCTTTCGAGAGACGAGCTGAGGAAGCTGAGATCGAGGGTGCAGCGACGAGCTTTGCCACTTGGTTGCAGTGCGCTTCTGTCGGCATGTGTCGGCGATTCCAGCATCTGATGATGATGATGATGATGGTGATGGTGATGATGATTGCAAGGTGATGATGGTGAGGAGGATAAGGTCAGACTTTTTGTCGAATCTGGAACTGCCTGGTGTCAGATTGCATCCATGACCTGTGTCACACACCTGCGGGCTGAAGAGCATCTTAAATTCCCGATCTGTCCGAGACTGACTGACTGTTGTTTGGGGTTCGCGCCAAAGAAAAGGACCAAGCCCCTCAAACCTGAGGTCATTACCGACTATGGCCGGGTGGCCCAGGAGACCAGGTTGTGAGGTGCCAAGGCGAGTTCTGTGGTTCAGGCCGTCAAAATCGAGATTTCTGAGCGGCAGCTAGGGGGCGACGGGGTTGGAGTCAGGTGCTTGGGACTTCTTGAGACCTCGGGGATTTTTGGCTAAGAGCCCTTCGGGTTTTGAGGGCTCGGCTCTCGACGTGACGTGATGCCCTGTGTTGCTCTGTAACTGCTCTGTCACTCTCTGTAAGTGCAAGACATGTCCAAGTCTGTGTTTTATTCTTTCTCGAGGCTCGGAGCTCTTTTTCTTGATCACGCAGAATGCAAAGATTGGTTCGCTCATCCAGGAGTCCGCTTGCACTCCCTGGCGTTGGCTTCCTTTTTTTGGGTTGAGGGTTCTGGTGCATAGGTTCAGCAGTTTACGGTTTGAGGTGACGTAAGGATTAGAGTTCAGGTCCATTCAGGTCCATTTCGAAGACAGGAAGGATTCCTTACAGGAAACCCTAGCATGACACCAGTGCAAGACAAGGCAAGAGCGAACCCGGAATGCATCCCGCCTATGGCCTATCAGGACAGGTCCGGCCCCTCGACCAACGAGTCCCACGTCTCATTCGAACTCGGCCCGACAGTTCTCAACCCCCTCATGTCCCAAATCCTGGTCTCAAAATCCAGGCCGTCACCCACAACCCACCCGAAGAACGCAGAAAAAGCAGTGTGCGAGCTTGAGCTTTCGAGTGTCGCGAAGGCCACAGCCTCTGCGCCGAACTCCGGCGACACGGCAGACTTAGGAGGCGCAGCGAGAGACTGTGATTTCAGAAGCTTGGTCGGATGCTCTTGGGCGAAATGATGTAAGGCTTGCCAGTAGCTTGGGATAACTTGCCACTGATTCCGCAAGTGCGGACTTGCAAGGGCTCACAGCCAGCGAGCTGGTTTTGCAGGTCTCGCCAGAGGTGAGCGCACCTACGACGTCCAGGTGCAACCCTAGACGACACAGCATCGCGCTAGGACGGGTGTCGCCAAGAAAATCGAGCTTCACAGAATATAATGTAGGAGCAGAGTGACCCTTGATTCACTCCAAGAGCTTCTGCTAGCTTATCTTCGCCCGACACCTTCATGCAGCCGAAGAAGGTCACAGGAAGAAGACTAGACCATCGGGTAAGTGAGGATCTTGTATTGCTAGGTTTAATTTAAATCAGGCCTTAAAGTCGAGATTGCGAGTCCGAGTCCTCCGTGCACCGTCTTCGCGCACCTGTTTGTACGTATTGGGGCTATACAAACATTAGATAAGTCAACGCGCGAAAAATCTGAACATAAGCATGAGCTTCCAATCATGTCTATGTCTATATATATATATATATATATCCACATTTTTTATGCATGCATGGCTGTCTGTCCGTCTGTCCGTCTGTCCGTCTGTCCGTCTGTCCGTCTGTCCGTCTGTCCGTCTGTCCGTCTGTCCGTCCGTCCGTCCGTCCGTCCGTCCGTCCGTCGGTCTGTCTGTCTGTCTGTCTGTCTGTCTGTCTGTCTGTCTGTCTGTACGTATGTAGGTATGTATGTATGTAAGTATCAGTATGTATGTACATACGCACACAGATATACACATGAAAACATGGGCATATCTACACACGCGCACACTGTAGGATATCGACAAGAGCCAGAGGAAAGCAGGAAGGGATGCTGCTGCTGAGTATGAAACAACATGATGTTGATGGTGATGATGATAATTAGAATGAGATGGGAATTTTGTGCCGAGTTTGCCAGACCGAAGGAATGGCACACGAAAGCAAGGTGAGATGATCCGGCAGGGGTAAGGTTTCTGCCCCTTGCCAAGCCAGACACAAAAGAAGTCAGAATGGCTACGAAATGAGATGAAACATGAACGAAAGATGAGTGCCTCGCCAGCTCCCCACGACGGGGCACGTGCGCAGGCAAGGCAGGTACGTTACCTGAGGTGTGGGGGAAAGCTTCGTTGGGCGGAGCCCCCTCACACCTCCTCTGCCCCCCCTTCTGCAATGAAAGGAGTGACCGACCCTCTGTTCCCGTGTGCAAAGGGAAGTTCACGCGCACACACATGTATAAATGTTTCCGTGTCGTGGTCGGTTCCCTTTTTGAAGGGGATACACCCGAAATTCTCGTGAGGGTCGTCGCTTTTGTCTCAAAAGTGCCAACAGTCACAGGGATGGGCGCCCCGAGCCCGGGATCCTCGTGAGTGTTGTGAGTTTTGAAGCTATGCAACTTCGTGGCGTGTCCAAAGTGGCGACCCTCACCTGCGCCGTGCCCAGCTGCTGACCCTCAACCCTGGACCCTTTCATATCTGTACACCTAAACCCCAAAACAACCCCACCACCCACGCCACGGGGGTGTGGCTGCAAACCCTAAAACCTACTACATCACAGGGAGGGGGGGGGAAGGAGGTTAAACACTAAACCTGTACCAACTCATTGTGTCACGCCGACTTCTGCACCTATGAATCCTCGCCTGGCTCGTCCGAGTTGTGAGAGTGTACACCCACAACCACCACCACACCACACCACACCGCACCACAGGGAGGGAGAGGGCGGGGTTAAATGACCCAAAACCCACCACTACACAACAGGGCGACGAGGGGGGTTAATTGAACCCACAACCGACCTTATAGGAGGGAGGGGGGGAAGGAGGGAGGGAGGGAGGGAGGGCGGGCTGGCGGGAGGGATTGATTGGTATCCATACTTTGAGATTTTCAAGGTTAGATTAGATAGACAGATAGACAGGCAGACATATAGATTTATTGATCGCCGATTCATTGGTCACCTTAGATCTTAGACTCCTTTGGTGGAATAGATATGGATTGGATTAGAGGATTAGAGTCGGTTAAATTAGGTTAGATTAGATGAGATTGATGGATGCGCTGGTCGAATGGTAGGGAGATAGATAGATAGTTAGCTAGGTAGGTAGACAGATAAATAGATCTGGACAAGCTCAGATTCGATTAGGTTGGTTAGACTGCATAGACTAGAGAGACAGGCAGATAAACAGATCGACCCAGAAGTAACTGCAGGTCCGGTCCGATTCATTCAATTCTAGGGCTTTCCGGATTTAGCTGCGAGGTGCTCTTCGGAGATCGGCGGGCAGAGCATTACAGAGCCGCTCCACTGAGAGCTCAGAGGGCTTCGGCTCGAGGGGTTATCCGGGAAGGTTCATGCAGGGATTGGGCCTGTGATTGTAAGATCACGTATGCCTTCGGCTTCGGAGATGTGTTGAACTTCTGATTTCAATCCTTCTCTTTCTCGCACTCGATGTGCAATCTCAGAGTTGAAATTGTGTTCGTGTCTGTGGATGGCGAAGGGGTCTGGCAGGTTTTGCCGTGAACAAGGGCCCAGAAAAAGCAGCACTTGGAGACGGCTGAGTGGTGTGCTTCGGCTAGACACACTTCCTGATCACAAGATCACCGAACTCACAAACAGGGGTCTATGCCTTCAACGCCCGCTGTTGTTTACAGGTGCCTGGAGACTCAGTACGTCTAAGAACGGAGCAAGATTTGTTGATTTCAACAGCTCGCGTTCTTGCTGAGGGCGGCGCAGAGTGGAAGTGGAAAAGTTCAAACAGTATGGTTCGGGTTCTTCGATGCATCGGTTGCATGAAACTCGTGACAGTGCGATGCCGTGCAACACGACATATATCTTCACGGACCAGCAGATGCACGTGATGCTCGAAGTGGAGCTTTTTGGAAACAAAAACATCCACCGGAGCTCAGGCTATCGCACGGTCTCTCATCGAGGTGGTGGCGCAGAAATCTTCGAAGCCCATCCTATTAGGCCCAAGAGCTTTCGACGAACAGTTGACAGCAAATGCCATTATTCTCAATAGCAAGAGACGGATGATAAAAACAAACCCGAGAGCATTTTTTAAAGTAGATGCGTCCGAACTTTGAGAGCAATCGAATTCCTTGTAAAACGATAAGAACCAAAAAGAACGATAACGAATGTTCGTAACATAGCTCAGATCATACAGGCCCAAAGTCCTGTAAAACGATAAGAGGAAATTAAAACGATAACCACTTCAAGGGTCAAGCAAATGGGTGGGGGGTTTTCACGCAGAGGATTCCTGTGGAAACACCTCCTGTGAGTGGTCTGTACCTTGTTATCGACATGGACGTGCTTGTTAGAGAGCTTGAAATGTTGCCGACCAGTGTCCTGCTGCCGATGTACGTCACGATTAGTTGTACGCTCAACGCTCCATTTCATTCGTCCTGATGTTGTCCACCGTCTGATGGGCCGGCCAGGTATCCAACTCAAGGAGCACAACGTCCAAGTGTTTAGGCCTTGGTTCCAGCAATCTTCTGGCCCTTGTATCAGCGGTCGCAGTCGGAATCCCCCAAGAAGCCAGGTGTCAGGATTGCAGGTGAAGAGAAGTGCACTTGCCATCCTGGCCAGGGCCATTCTGCAGCAGCTCCGCGAGAAGATCGGTCCTGTGGTGGCTGCAGAGGAGGTGCGTTGCTCCTGTATAATACCGGGAGCTTGGCCACAGATGATCGAGATAAATGAGCTGTCTACCTCCTTGACGTTGAACTCAGCCCTATCACAAGCCAGATGCTGACGTGGGGCGTCAAGAAAAGATGCAACCGTTTCCGAGTCCCTGACATCCTTTCGACTGAACACACGGGGATATCCTCGAATTCGACACCTGTTACATAGTTAGAGCCTTCATGTCGATGGATACTTCCGTCTTTGGTTGGGATGACGCAGATATCTCGGCTTCGATTCTGCAGTCGCACGAGGTTTTGCTTTACCGTGGATCGCTGGTCATGCCAGATTGCAACCAATGTCATTCGGGCTCTGTTGCGTGGTGTTGACAAGAGCCCCATCAGAATCCTGACCCGTTTTCGTGCTTGTGCGAGGTGGATGAGTTCGCGGATTTTGAGGGGCGGGGTTCGTGACCTTGCTTGATGAGAAAAGCGCGTGAAGTCCTTGCGCCGAGTGATTGCGCAAGATGTTAGCAGGGTCCATGGCCACACAGACTGAACTTGTTTCCCGGCTCGGAGCCTCAGCTGCCCAGACATGCAGGCGTGCCCAGGCCATGAACAAAAACCAGTATCACTTGTCTCACCATGAACGAAGAAGTAAACTTGATCTATTCTTAAAATATTTCATTTGTGACATCTGTTATAGAACGAGAAGCAAACAGGTCGGCATACTAGTTCGGGTTGTGCCGTGAACTTTTCTTACTGCACGTTGTGCTAACTATATTATATCTTGCATATTGCGTTCCAGTGGCATGCTGAGGTATCTTGCATTATGTAAATATAGAAGTCCATCATATCTTGTATTGTTGCCAGGCCAAGAAGTTCGACTCGCCGACCTTCTCTGTGCATGCCGCGGGCTGAGTGTCGACTGAATCGAAGTGCGGCAGTCAAGTGTAAGAGAGTGCAGAGTCTGGCCGAGGGAACATAGTAAGCCATGCTGCCGCAGGTGGGCCTGGACACCATCAAGGTCCGCTCCCAGTACTTGTGGAGGCAGGTCTGCCGAGCTTGGGACGCAGTTGAATTGAGTCCAGAGTCAATGTGGTACTAGTAGCGGTCCGCTGGTTTCATGTGCTGTTTTAGCTTTCAGGCTTCTGGAGAGCCCTTGCAAGGGCAATGTCACCCTTCATGAGGCCCGGCATCTGAGCTGGTGGTTGGCATGTGAATCAACCTTCCCGCTCAACCGCCATGGCCCTATTCCCTGTGCAATGTCGTTTGTTCGAAACAAAGCCCCAAGGTTATGTTCAGACTTGGATTTCAAAATGAAGCAGTGGCTAGTGATCTGAGGGTGTGCATCAACCCAACATCATGATCGAGCTAATCCAAGCACGCACGCCATGCTCTTGCCTCACAACCTTTCAGATGCAAAGCCGGATTTCCGAAAGTAGGGTATAGGCTGAACCACTGGGGCCAAACCCCACACTCTGGTGCTTCCGTCGGGCATGAAGGTATGGCGATGTAACCTTAAACCTTAAGCCCGACACCCTAGATTTTTTTTGAGGTCTTCGGTCACACTCAGGGTGTTCGACCGATGGTGAGGGGGTTTTGGCTCACGCGGGCGAGCATCATTGGGGATGAGTTCGTCAGTGCACCTGGGAGCGGCGGGCTGCAAGTATGACTAAGTATGACATGCAGTGAGCTCTGAAGTCTTCCAGGGGAGCTGCCAACTGAACCTCGATATGCCAAGCCAGGGTTGCCGCTGATCTTATGTCTTACGCACGTAAGTGAACGAAGTGCCTCTCCATGTTCCCATGTTCCTCTCCCCAGCTGTGCCACCGCGGAGGATGGTCGCCACACAGTGCGGATACACAAGTACTCCTATGAGGCCGACCTGGGAACTGCCGGGTCTGTGTTGAAGTTCTGAGGTACTTCTGCAGCTGTCACAATCCACGCACCTCGTCACTACACTTGCGAAACACCTGAAAGACACTTTGGCCCTGTCTTAAATCTCTGCATCTGATGCTGCTTTGTCGGTCGCCAGGCGCTTCTTGCTTATGGCCAGTATCTGCACGAGGATCGAGTGGATTGCAGGCGACCTTCCTGCAAAGCTTCATGTGGGAGTGCAGAAGCACCTGAGAGCCGTCCCCGTGCTGATTCACAAAGTATCATATAGTATAGTATCGCGCAGTGACAGCGGCGAAGCAATGGGTCGTTCTGGCAAGTGGGGATCCCTTTCCTCTTGATGCGACAAGCATGAGGATCCCGACGAGCCTCCATGACTTGTATTGGTTGAGTATTGTTTTTGGCCTTCGTCAGCAAGCAGAGAAAACACTGATCCTTGGCATCCTTTCTGTGGCAGACTCTCTAACGAACTCCCTGCGGTCAGGGTGGGACAACATCCCTTTACATACTAGAACATACTGTTACCATAACTGTAACAGTCCGTGTTTTTTTCTCCTTCTGGTCCCGGTACTTTACGATTTCAAGGCCGGAGGTGGCTGTGGAGCTCCTGGAGCTGGCTGAGGCTTTGGGCTTCGCAGGGGGATGGGTGCCCAATACTCGAGGAACCTACAATATGTCAGGCACTTGTAGTAGAGTCATGTAGAGTCTGTTATATTACAGTATGCCGGGGTCTGGTCTTGTATGCTATAGTACGCTATTTTCGTTTGTGAAATTTCGTATATTATCGTATGGCGAAGGGAATCTTGGAAGAGACTCCTCGATGCGGAGCGCAGCAAGCGGAGGATAGCGCTTGAAGATAATTTCCTGGACGTGTATCCGCACGATCAAATGTTGAATGGATGATGAATGGATAAATGGACTGCTGGCTTGTTAGTTGATGGTGCACTTCACGACATGTCCGGTCATTTTATTCCAAACTGATGCCTGATGCCCTGGCCCCCTGACCGTCGCATGTTGAGGAGTATGTCGACTCGACCGGACTGGCCGAGAAATGTGCTCAGCTGGTGAGGCCGGGAGTTGATGCAAAGTGGCCAAGGATCTCAATGCTTCCTGTTCTTCACAATGCTCTTGAGTTCATGTATCGGTGCTGACTTCAGACGTGCTGTTTGGTGCAGGAGTGCTTACAGTAGGAGTTGCATGTCACCGGTGGCGTTCTGCCAGCTTGCCACTTACGTGAAAGTTCGCATGAGGCTCTGCAGCATGAAAGGGGTTTTCAAGATCCGATGAAGTTGCTTATGCAGCCGCAGCAAGAGGCCAAGCTCTCCAGCCCCCTGAATTTCCTATGCTTTGGCTTGACTGGTCTTTCATGCTTGTTTGACACACACGGCTTCCTTTTTCGTATTGGCGACGCCATGTCCGAAAGCCTTGCCAGCACCCGGGTCAGCGCGTCCATGGGGCCCTCCACCGGACATGTCATCGAAGACGCGGCGGCCCAGTCCCTTGGCCTCGGAGGGAGGGCCAAGGCCAATGCGATGGACCCCTTCGAAGAGTTGCTCCGGCAGCTGCGCATGTTCCACCAGGGTGAGGTGCAGCGCCTCCGGGATGAGGTCCTGAGCCTACAGAGCCAGAGGCTACAGACAGACATGCAGGCACCATCCTTCTTGCAGAAGCAGACAGACGCAGAGGTGATGGAGATGGCAGAGGCAGTGGCGGAGTCGCAGGGGATGAACAATCACGAGGAGAAGGAAGAGGAGAACGCGCTGCCGACTTCCCTGGATTCCGCGGCAAGCAACCCTCAACAGCGGACGAGGTCTTTTGCAGACAACAATCACGACAATGAGAAGGGCTGGGAGCTTGGGAAGTCCAAACACGTGAGCAACATCAGGGCCAAGAAGTCCGCGTCGGTGCTTGACCAAGTGCACAAGAAGCATAGCCAGTCTTCCTGGAGGCCGGGGATGGTCAAGCAAAGGTGTAGGAGCCTCCGATCAGCACGAAGTGTTTCTGTGAGACGATCTAATACTGGCAGACGGAGTCGGCATTGCCAGAGTATGAGTCAGATCCAGCTGAGAATACTGTCGTATCTGTCCGTGCACTTACTTTGCTTTCCAGGTGGGATGGTGACTGTCGGATCTTGCTCCAGCGGATTCTCCGGCCTCGTGGCATTCGTTTAGTTTCTGGCAGCAGCCAGACGGGCTCTTGTTCCTCTGCGGGCATACACCGCATGCTGTGAATGGGATGGTTTCATGACAAGGACAGAGTAGTTTGTGCATCAGGGCATTCCGAGTGGAAGTGTGAAACTTGATCTTGCAAGGCATCCGGCCATTGACTGCACCATGAGCTTCCTGATCGTCTGCAACGCCCTGGTCTTTGCTTTCGAAGCTCAGTATTTCGCCGTGAACGATCGAGCTCTCGCTCTCTCTCTCTCTCTCTCTCCCTCTCTCTCTCTCTCTCTCTCCCTCTTTCTCTGTCTTTCTCTCTCTCTTTCTCTCTCTCTCTCTTTATTTATTTCTGTCGCTTGTTCTTTTCTTTCTTTCTTTTTATTTCTGGGCTGCATCGGTTCAGGGTACCCCAATTCTGGCACTACTCTTGTTGGAGATGAGGGTATATGCAATCCCGGAGATGCTCGGGAGCTCAGATGCTGCCACAATGGCAAGGGCTGGTAGGGTGGCGTTGTCTTATTGTTAAAGTTGCCCCCTACGGATCAGCAGGGGCATGAGGGCCAGTGCAAAAAAAGAGGATGTTTTCGATTCCAGCCGAGAAGAGCCAGCGTGAGCATGCCACCCCACAACTCTCACACAGATCTCCGTGCGCTCTGCAGGTATAGAGGCTTCGAGATGGCAGAGGCTGATTAGGGTAGTTTATGCAGAGTGCAGTTTCTGTGGGGCAGGTCAGGCTTCGCACTTTCCCAACTCTACTACAGACCGTTGAGGGGGCGGGAGTCAATGTTTCTGCTGGAGGGCGGCGTACTCTTTGTCAAGCTTCAGTTGAGCTACTCCGGCAAAACTGCAAGCTCGACTTGCTCGCCCAGGCTCAGACCCCACCGCAAATCGCAGACCCCTTGCGATCGAACTTGGACCCCGAGATTGCAGGTCCTACAGACGCTTACATAAGTCTTCATTAAGTTGCGGCTTTTGGAGGCGCTCGGATTCAAGCGCGACGAGATCTCTGTGACTGCCCACGAGCTGTGGCCAGGCCTGCTCGGGACCGTGGACATGTCAGTCGCCGCAGCGTCGCTTCTTGAACAAATCAGGGTCATGAGCGTCTTATGAAGCATTCGGGGTGCGGATGTCGGCTGCATAGAAGGTGCTGAAGACGTGTTTCCTGTGATCGAGATGTTCTTCGGCGTCATTTTCACGATGGAGGCACCCGGCAGGGTCATGTTGCTTCAGAAAGCGTTCCAAAGGGTTCTTTCCTAACCTAGAACTCGAGACATGATCATGGACACTGTAGGCAAGGCCTCGTGGTGCCGCTTGCAACCATCCTGCCTAAGGTGGTACTGCGGCTGTATGCCGAGCGTCTGCATTTCTTCGCAGAAGGTTGGAACTGGCTTGATGCCACCGTGGTCATTGTCCCTC